ATCACTAGAAGCTTTCGCTGACAGTCATTTGGGTCAACTGTTACCATGCCAAGGGTTCATGCACGTAATACCCCCTACGAATGTATAATATATATATATATATATATATATATATATATATATATAATATATTATATATATATATATAATATATATATATATATATATATATATATATAAGTATGTGAGAAGATATAAAAATTTGAATGTAGAATTTTTAGCATTTTCGTTATTTTTTGTTTTATATTATATATGTATTAGACGAGTGTTCCCAAATCTGTAGGTTTCCCTAGTTAGACTAAGTTATTGTTTGTTATAAATAAAACTGTAGACCATTAGGAAGATTATTTTTCTTGTCAGTAACTAATAGATTAAAGACCTAGTTGAAGTTAGTTACCCCACCCCCTTTCAATTTACTAGCTGTTTTTTAGAAGAAAAGTTACATATGATTTAACCCATTTTGGATACAAAGTAACACCAGGCTAGGGGGTATTATGACTATTATTAAATAAGGCGTAAATGAACGCATTGACTCAGAGTGCTGCAGAAGAGCCGAGGATAGTAGCGAAGTAAGTACTCGGAAGACGCTGGTCTGCCTTACCTGTCGCCTTGGTCCATCTCTTGTGTGTTATGACAGGATAGAAATATAGTATCTTTACTCTGTCATTTTCCTTAGACTCATATATTCTAGGTGAACTCTTAGAAGAAGCTATAGAACGAATGATCTGGGAAAATAGTGGTCGCCCAAGAGACCTTTCTAGACGTGGAATGAAGAGAGAAGGACTTCTACTAGACAATACTTCTTCTAGATCATAGTGTCTATAGTTTTTAGTCTCTCAATAGGCTATAGAATCTATAGAGGAATTGAGCCATGTTTGGCAAGCGTTCTTCACCTGTTGTTTGATATTAACCAAATGTTTAGTTTGATCTAGTTAGAAACTTTCACTACTAATCTAGGTGAATGTTCTGTTAGACAAGATGCTGTCATGATCTGAGATTATAAGATGACTAGATTACTAGACAACTATGCAATACTAGATTACTCACTGTGTCTTTATAGAAAACTAACTATGTCTTCTTACAGGTACTTAGCCGACATCTTTTAGACTAGAATGTTTTTAGACTATTTTTCTAGTTTTCATAGAAATGTTTTTAGTGTGAATCGACTAGTTTGTCCTAGTTACCTCTGACTCTTGGGCTAGCATGTTCCTAGTCCGAGATAATAGAGGTTTTTAGAGCATTTTTTCTATTTTAAGGGTGACTGCAAAGGATACTTTTAATGCAATACTTACGCTGGAAACTAACACTTTTGTCACTAAACTTCTCTTGTTGTCATACTCTGGTCGGGAGTCGTTTTCTTACAAGTTTTGCAAACTCTCGTTTTTTCCCCTCCTTGATTTTCACACTAACTGAAATACTTTGATCAGTAACCGGCCCGTTTGATGTTTAAAACTTTTAATGAAACATAATTTTTTTTGCCTTCTTTGACTCACCATTGTGTGAAGTGATTTTTTTTGTGATGTGAACTGGTTTTTTTGACCTTAGCTCGGCGAGCTAAACTACCTTGGCCTCGTCTGACACTCTTCCCTGTACTACACTTCAGGTTTTCCGGCCGGATGTGGCTACTTCTCTTCGGCAACCGGTGCTTCCATCACGGGCGTGTCCCCTCAGACGCCCACGCCCGCAGACGGGTTCAAAGCCACCGCCTATTACGATTCGGGAGCCGTCGCTACCCCCACTCTCACCCCCACAGCACCCATCACGCCCACACTCACGGTAAGACCAACCTGACCTCTCCACCCACAGTGTGTGTCTCTTCCCTGTGACGTGAACATAGACCGTAGACCAGCTGGGTAGGTAAAATGACCACTTAGAGCCTCAATTCGACACTTTCAGGGAGATGTGACAGAGGACATGTTACATTACCATCTGCAGGCTGAGCGGCTGGCAGCAGCTGGTACCTACTACGATTCAGGTGCCCTGGCTGCGGTCACCATGAGCGGAGCGGGAGGAGACCGACAACAGTCTATCCAGGTGACTGCAGCGACTGCTCCAGGAGCTCCACACACACGTGCTGACCATATCAACTCCTCCCCAATGCTCAGGACTACAGGTGAGGCTCCCCTCTATGCATATTCTCGTGTGTTTGGCAATGAACTGACGGAGGATCGAGCCTCCTCGCAGCTGTATACACGATAGATGTACACATACAACTCGCACACAAGTGAAAGAAGCTTATGATATCCTCTTCTTTTCTGTAATATTGCAAGCTCCTGATGATGTGTTGATTGCAACACGAAAGGCCTAGAGCTATCATTCTACTCCCCCAGCGGCTGTTTTGCATATGTTACTATGAATAAACAGAAGAGTGGACGAGGACCTCGAACCGCGGTCCGTAAATTGCGAGTCCGACTCCTACAATTTAAGGACCACGGTTCGAGCCCCTCTTACACTCTTCTGCCTATTCATTGACAGTTGTTTATTACACCTTAATATGTTACTACGTATGATAATTGCACTTATGTGTACCTGTATCTAAATACACTTACTTATATTATGCTCAGTAATAACCCACTTGGGGACAGAGACTCAGAAGATTTATTGATCTGTATACTTCGATCCCCTTCTGAGATCCTCTTCAGGACTGAGGAAACCCCAGATGAGCGAAACGTGTCTTTCTTATATAATTATCACTGTTAATCACCAGGTTTGACTGAGAGATATCTTTCAGTGTATATATACGAGATGTATATATTTCAGTGTATATACACGAGATGTATATATTTCAGTGTATATACACGAGATGTATATCTTTCAATGTATATACACGAGATGTATATCTTTCTGTGTATAGACACGAGATGTATATCTTTCAGTGTATATACACGAGATTTATATCTTTCAGTGTATATACACGAGATTTATATCTTTCAGTGTATATACACGAGATTTATATCTTTCATTGCGTAATTTCCGAGAGACGATTCAATTCCACTTTTTTTAAACCTAGTACATTCTGGGATATAGTTGTGCTCGTTTAAAAAGTCCTTGTTAGTCACAGTTTAAACCCCGTAAACCAAGCAATAGGGTTTAATGCTTTTATATGTTAATCTCTGGGATTTTCTTGAAGAGTTTCGCTTCAGTTTTACCCTACGTAAATACAAGGAGAGATGGTATCTTTCAGTGTATATTCGCACAGAGATGTGTGTATGTTTTAGCGAATATACATTAGAGGCAGTATCCTCATGTATATACCTCAGAGGTGTACCTCAGCGAATTTCAATGTGTATCTCCATAGTATATACTCCAGGATGTGAACTCTTTCAATTGTTTACTCCAGTTATACTCCAGGATATTATAGTTCTTTCGTATAAAAGTCAACTACTTTAAGTTCCTCTCGTAGAACCTGACTTTTAGAGCTGCCCAGCCTGGCGAGTCATGGCACTCACCCTCTTGATTGGCTGTTCAGACTAATGAATCTTGGCACTACCTTCCGATTGGCTGTTAGGGGTGATGACTCTTACTTCTCTGCCTTCTGATTGGCTGTTTGAGGTGCTGAATCTCATTCCGCCGTGTTCTGATTAACTAGTTGGTGCTGGCCACCAGCTGTGGGCGGGCACAGATTGAGAGTGCCACTGGTGAAAGTTCTCACTCCCCCACTTGATAAAACGCGAGTCCATTAAAATCCTAAACTTTCCAATCGAGTCAAGATAAACATTTACGGGGAAAAACATACCGTGGTTCCCCCTGTTTGTCCAGACACTCTGAACATCAGAGGCTGTGCCTGAGACAGTGATCAAAAGTGCGTGCGTGTGTGTGTGTGTGTGTGTGTGTGTGTGTGTGTGTGTGTGTGTGTGTGTGTGTGTGTGTGTGAACATTCACCCAGTTTTTTAATTTAATTGTGTTAGCAGGGAGGTTGAGGTACATCCCTTGGGCCCAGCCTCTGCACTTACAATAACTCCTGTCTTGGGTCTAATGAATGCTCTTCACCTACGTCCCTTCCTAATACCTTCCTTAGGTACCCTATCACTCTGAAACAGTTCTTCCTTATGCTCATTTGGCTTACTAGAAGTTCTAGTTTACAGTGGTGTACCCTCGTTCTGTTTCCCCTTATTTGGTTTACGTATGTCAGCTTAACGTTGCTTGGTAACTTGTATGTCGTAATCATGTCTCCTCTGGACCTGCTCTCTTCTTATCCCAGCTCTCATAGTTCTAAAATCAGTCTTGTAACACACCTGAGGGAGTAATTTGATTTTTTCCTTTTCTACTTCCTTCCTTCCCTCTCTTTTTTCCCCTCTCTACCTTTGCTTTCCTCTGGCTTCTACCCTTTGTCTGTCCCCGTCACACTCAATCTCTCTCTCTCTCTCTCTCTCTCTCTCTCTCCTCTCTCTCTCTCTCTCTCTCTCCTCTCTCCTCTCTCTCTCTCCTCTCTCTCTCTCTCTCTCCTCTCTCTCTCTCTCTCTCTCTCTCTCTCTCTCTCTCTCTCTCTCCTCTCTCTCTCTTTCTCTCTCTCTCTCTCTTTCTTTCTCTCTCTTCAATACCCCTTCCTCTATCTTCACCTCCTTCATTTTCCTCCTCCCTCCCTCCCTCCTTCCCAACACCTTCCTGTATCTTGTACCTTCCCTCCTCTTCCGTCCCTTCCCAATTCCCATCTCCCGCCCCCCTTCCCCTCCTTCCTTCCCCTCACCCCTTCCCCGAGCTCCTGAATAGCCGGTCCTCCCCAGACATGAATTGGGCGGCTGTGAAATAACTCTTCAAGAATTTATCGAAGCTATGCAATTCACTTGGTTGTATCAGGCGGACGCTCTGCTCCCTCGGCCGCTGTCGATGCAACTTCAAATTCTGACGTCGATTTAGGTTTTAAGGGAGAGTTATAGCCAGGGTACGAGGTAGATCTTGATTGTGGTTGTCCTGGTTGTCGTGATGGTTGTCCTGGTTGTTGTGCTCGTTGGTTTAGGGGCGCCGATTGGTAGGTCAAGGTTGGAATTGGTTGAAACTTA